AAATCAGTTAGAACCTAGTCTAAAACATTTTTCCTATAAACGTAGCAAAAATGAGACAACTCTGAGTCAGTAGTTTTGTATCAGATAGACATCATTTCCGTTAATGATGTTATCTTTAGTAATCAAAATAACTTAAAAATTAAGATTGTTTTCTTTAGAATTACTGATAAACAACAATCACAAAGAACTCAAGTTGGGAATGGGTCAATAAAAACGTTATCTCAGAAAATTGTGGGAGGCTATTTTTCAAATGAAGTTTACGTATACGTCCGTGGACGTGGACGTGGTCGGTACGTGTGTGGTCGTTGTGGGATACGTTGTAAGAAACCATCGATGTTGAAAAAGCATATTAAGTCAGCTGATTTTCTCATTTTATCATAGAGTTTTTGTTTGACGGACTCGTATCAATTCACGTATCACATCCATTTTTTTTCTCTAATGTTACAATTAAATTTTTCAAACGTTTATTGGTTATTAAATACTAGGATTCTTAATCCATACTGTCAGGATTATTTGATTGTTTTTGTCATGTGCATGGTTTGTTTAACACTGTTTGGATATGACGATTCTAAAGGAGCTAATCTTTTTAAACTATGGACTGCATTATAGAAACAAAAAGCGTTTCCTTCACATTGATGGAATGGATTATTTTTGTATCGTTTACAGGTCGCATTCGGATATACGGCCATACGGGTGTAAACAGTGTAATTTCAATTTTAAAACAAAAGGTAATCTTACCAAACATCTGCAATCGAAAACACATCGTCGTAGGATGGCTGAAAAAGAGAAGCAAAAAACAGCTGAGCAAGATTCGGATAGCGATCATGATCGGTTGGAAATTGCGAGCCTTAGTGGGACCGCTTCAACCTTTAGTAACGATCCACTTTCAGACGATGAATGGTTAATTTTTTATTTGCAGAATTTTCAACTTCCGAATTTAGTTTTATAATCTTATTTGTGATAAACGGTTGAACACTCTTTAGCAAACTGATATTTTCTCGCTTATTTTTTTAGTTCATCAGACGAAGATTTACGACCATTCTGCAGTGACAAAAACAAAAATATGTATCGAAAATTTGGTCAAGGTGATCTCTTTTTGTTTAAATTTTCATCTACAAAATCGAAATTTATACTAACAACATCAAGAATTCCTACTTCTTATCAATGGCTCTATTAAAATCATTGGAGTCATTAGAGTTTAATTGTTACTCGTATTGCATGGGTCATAAAATTTTGTTGTATAGCATTTTATGTACAGATGGACTTACAAGCCAATATGCTATACTATGGAAAAAATTTACTTATTGTCTTTTACTTATTGATATAACATTGCTGTACTCTGATCAGAATACTTAGCATATCTTAGATTCTTTCTTGAAACTGATTTGCAGTTCTTTATCACTTTGTCCGTGTAAAAGCGCACCTATTTATTTAGTGGAAAATTGCGTGGTTGGTTTGTTATTTGTGTATATAACTTTCACTAATATTCAAGAAATCACATTAATGGAGCGAACAGCCCATACACCACCAATGTTGTGGATTGTTGGTGAAACGGTTTTTGATTGGTCGATTCCGAATTGCTTACGTTCATGTCATAGCGCACCACCTAGTGCACGGTATCCATCGGAAGGACGAAAGCAACAAAAACTATTGGAAACGAATTTTCTGTTAAAAAAGGTTTGATAAACTTTCATTGACGATTCCGACTCACTTATCAATATTTACGAGTCCACTTTACCGTCCCTTTACTATGGCTCTTTCAAGTTTTTGATTTTAAAATTCAGGCTGCCTCGGAAGACGTCCGTAACTTTGATGTTAAAGAACCAACAACTTGTGCTGTATCAGTGGTTCAAACTTTGGTACCTACAACCAGTGACTGTTCACAATTGCAGTCACTGTCATCCTTCATGACAGAGCAACAGCCTTCAGTGGGAGCATTTTTTGCTAAGGAGGTCTGTAGGAATGATTTGAGAAAGTTTGTTTACTGTTTAAGCAAAATTGATAATTTCTGCATGGTTGACTGATTAATTAATAATAAAAAGGAAGTATTTCAATCCCTTAATTCTCAGTCTTCTGTTTTGTTAAATATTTTACGTATCACGCAATATGAAGCAAATTGTACTGAAATATTATTTGCAAGCATGAAATAGAGTCATCCTTCTCTTTTATCGCGTGATCTGTTGTATTTTTTTCAAGACAATGATATGCGATATTTGCAAACGTGTATTTCGAAGTTCGACTGAGATGACATTGCATCGCAAAATCCATTTGATTGGACCATCAAATTCACGTATACGGTCTTATCAGTGTAGCGAATGCAAATATTCGGCTCGAGCACGTAACGCTTTGCAGCGACACATGGAAGAAAGACATGGAATTGTTGAAAGTTTGCAAGCAGAACAACTGAATGATTCGGATAACGGTATATATTTATAAATTACTAAAATTACTACCTAAGTGAAATTTATTGCCTTGCAGAATATCGACGCAAAAGCGCCTCGTGTGGAAACTGTACAATTTGTTAGTGTTTTAAAGGTATCATATGTATCAATTTTCAAGGAAATCTATATGTAAGGATCAGATTAGATAACCCAACGAAAGTGGATAAAAGGAAATCATTTGATGATAAATATATGTGCGTCAATTTGTGCGTCTTCAGATGGTTGGACTGTCTGAACGCTTTTTTGCACACCTTACATATGTAATTCTTTTCACCAGTATGGATCATCATATGGCATTTCAGATTGCATGCATA